TCGGTGCGCGCCCGGGATCTGAACCCGGGCCACCAGCATCGGAGCGCGCGCACTTAACCGCCAAGCCACGGGGCCGGCCCTCAAACGTATTTAAATTATTAATTCATCTCAAGAGGGGTGGATTAGAATAACAAATTTTAAAAAGAAAAATTAATTTATATCCACAGAAGCAGAAATTTTTGTTCTTTTAAAGCAGCATCTCAGCCCTCCATCCACACAGCCTGGCCCCATAAAGTCCCTGGAACTCAGCCCAGGGTTGTGTCTCTCCCTCTCCAGTGAATGGGGAACAAAAATAGAAATTATGTTCTAGTGGGGTTAGTATAAAATTGCACATTCCGCGCAGGCACAGTTTGCATTTCATGTCACATTCTAGTTTCCCTCACCTACACAGACAACTTCGACTGTCCTTTAATTAAACAAATTGTAACTGTCGAGGGTCTCAGACGTTCCCAGATCCAACCGCCGCCCAACAACGACCCTCGTGTCGTCGTCCCCACCCCTCCCCCCGCCCCGTCCTTGTGCTCCTTCCACCTCGCTGGCAGGACACGCGTCCCTATTCGCTCCCCTCAAAAACCCTTCAGGTAAACCATCTTCAACTTATTAAGAGGAAATATAAGTGGCCCACACACGTCATATTCTGTACCTAGCCTGGCTCCAAAGGACACCAGACAGATTCAAAGGAAGCGAAAAGCAGAGAACCAGAGATTGTCCGGCAGGAGGACAAACAGAAAAGGAAACAGGAAGGGGCCGGACGGTGGGTAGGGTCAACCCCGCCCCCACGCCAGCCGTTTCCGCACCCAGTCCAGTCCGGACCGCTGTCCGCGAGCCGCCCCTCCGAGGCTCCGCCCCCTGTCCCGCCCCAAGGGCATGCGCACGCGCAGTGTCCTACAGGCGTGAAGGGATCGCGCGGAGCTGCCGACACAGTCCCGTCAGTTACTCTCGGTTTTTCAGATTCGTATCTGTGCTTCGCAATCTTCAGGCCCCCATTCTCCTCACCCAGGTTTCGGGGGTCGCCATATAAGAAAAATCCCTGAACCGCTCGTTCGTCTGGCTGTGAGTTCGTTGCTTTCGCCTCTCGCGGCGTCGCCGTAGACGTCCCGAGTCCTGCAGCTCCGTGGCGTCCGGGAGTCCGCGTCCGTTTCCCGTTAAAATCGCTCTGAGGCAGGTGCCCGTCCAGCCTTTCTGCCTTCGGTCCGCGTAGACACCGACCGCCCGCCGCGTCGTTTTCCTGCTCAGAAACTTTCTCTGACTGACGACTCCCCTACCCGCGCCCAACCGCGTGGTCCAGTCCTCACTCAGGAGGTGGGTACGTGCCCTTCGCCCCCCTCCAGGGAGAGCAGAGGGGAACAGAGATGGGGAGAAAGAGGCAGAAATACATGGAGTTAGAGGCCACCAGAAAATTTAGGGAGAAAGAATGCGGGAATTGAAATGGAGGTTGCCACTGAGTGGGGCCAACACTTAATTTTATTGTTCAGAGAATGAGGTTTATATTGTTTCTCCTTTATTATATATTGGAACTGTTCTTTGATGTCTGTGAATAACTATAGTATTTCATTATGCATCTGGTAAGGATGTTGATAATCTTTTAACACTGAAAACCTAGTTTAACTAGTTAAAGAGTCAACAGTTTACGCCTTCCCTAAAGTGATCTGTTAAATTAGTGACTTCCAAGCTGAAGTCTCCAACTACGTGGATGTTCCCCTCACGTCCCCTTTGTCCTTTCTGTACAGATGTTGAAGGATGGGCTGGATGGATGTGGAACTTTGTTCCCACACAGCTCATGTGTCCATGATGAACAGATTGCTCAGAGCCCATCTCCAAGTGAAGTGATCCCCTTCCAGGTTTTCCAAAACTATTTGTAACTTCATTTCTTAAATACTTTTCTGGAAAAGAGGAAATAAATGCTTGAGTTTGATTAAACCCATGAAAGAGAATCTTCTCTTGCTCAGGAATGTGAAATGTCATCTGGAATTAGAACAGAACTTTTCTACTGCCCTGTCCAGGCGACTACTTACACCCGGTTCTGCTCACTGAAGTCAGACCTCTTCTCCCCCTCTGAGCCTCAGTGCACCCACCTGTAACATGGAGACGATAGAGTAGACCAGGAATTCTGAGTCTGAGCAAATGGGATCCCTGACATGATTTTCACAGTTGGGCATGTGTCTGAGAGGGTGCTTAGTGATAATTAGAATTGGAAATGTGTCACAGTCCTCCGAAATAATCAAAACCACTAAGAAAGAGGCAGGGGTGTAGGCTCAGAGACAGTCGTGCTTCTCTCTCTTTCTGTTTGTATCATGGATAAATCTTAAGTTTGATTGTGTCGTTTCTTGGCATTAAACCCTCTAATGGTTTCCCATCACCCTCAGGACAAAAATCTAAACTCCTCAGTATATCTACAGCAGGAAGCTCTGGAGTTGGCATGGCCCTTTAGGGTTGGTCCAAATTGATGGAAAAGACAGGATTCTGCATCCTGCATCAGCCAGTCTGGCTGGTTGCCTAGGGAGAGCCAAGGACTTAGATGAGGCACTTTCCTTTGGCTGAGTGCTAAGTGGACAAAGGACAGTGCAGGTGCAGCAGAGTGTGTGGGTTTCAGCAGGAGGAGAGGGCTTTCTGAAGAAATGGGTGAAAAACTCACTCACTGGTCTCCTTATAAGAGTTTATTGTCCCTGCATCCCTCCTGTTACAGTGGACAGCAAAGTATCATCTTTTTCCCATATTCAGGTTTTCCCTGTTATGTGAACCTGTGGCAGAGAAGGTGGGTATGTTGTTTCTAAGCATTAAACAACATATTTTTGTCACACAGAATAATCTTACTTGAGAAAGAAGCCCAAAGGAAGAGGAAAGAAAGAGGAAGAAATGACTCTTTCCCAGGTAGAAGTCACATTCTTAGTTGATTTTTCTGTTCCCTTGTTCCTAAACTGCCACATTTTGGACTTACTAATATAGTCTGTCTCTGAAGTATCCTGCCTAAAATACTGACTCTCACACAGGCCTTTTGTCAGTCCCTTCTCATCTCTATGCAGATTCCATCTCATTGTGACCCGTGACCTGGAGCTTAGGAAGAGGCTCCTTTTAGGGGATCATCCTGTGAAGGGTTGTCTACCCAGGCATGGATTGGAGATGGGGAGTAGGCTCTGTGGTGTCAGTGAGGCTGGACAGTAAAGATTGTGTGGGGGCCCCCTCTGGATGCCTGTTCAGCTCTGTAAACCAGGATTGAAGAGACTACTTATGTAAGTGATGTATTAATGTGCACAAATACCTGGGAAACTGGAAAAAAAGACTGATGGGGGAAACCTGCTTTGTCTGATGTTATAAATGCGGTTGAAGTGAAACAAGTGAATCAGTGTGTTTCTGACTTCAAAATATTAATACTTTGGAATAGAATGTGAAGTTCAGAAATAGAAATAAGGAATAGAGAGCGTGTTTTATTACATAATTAGTTTTAAAATGTAGAATCAACCTAATTGTCTAACAGTAAGGGTTCTTTAAATTATTCACAGCACATCCATCTCCCAAAGACCCTGGTGTTCATTTAGGGACTCTCCTGCAGTGGATGTTTTAGATAAAAATGGTTAGCATTTAGCCAAGACATAGGAACAGAACTTCCTGTCACCAGAGAGGCTGGGGCCAAACTCTGATTCCACTAATTGTTGTTAAATGTTATACTTTTTTGTATTAAATATTTCATGTGTGTGTTTTTGTGGTTCAGTTCCACACAGTGATGCAGTTTAGAGACTAAGGAGTAAAATATCCCCTGCCCTGTCACGTGTTCCACCATCACTTACTGTCTCTGTCAGGAACCACTTAGTTCTCCTTAGTGCAAATCTTGTAAAAATGCACATATATATCGTAATGTGATTTTAGAAAATATTCTTCAGTAAAAATTTTGTTAACGATATTTGATTCTGCAGATTTAAATATTGATACACCATATATCTTGGAGTTGTTTTCAAGTTAGTAAACATAGCAATAACTTGCATTTTTATTTTTATTTATTTTTTTGTCAGGAAGATCAGCCCTGAGCTAACATCCGATGCCAATCCTCCTCTTTTTTTGCTGAGGAAGATTGGCCCTGGGCTAACATCCGTGCCCATCTTCCTCTACTTTATATGGGACGCTGCCACAGCATGGCTTGACAAATGGTGTGTTGGTGTCTGCCTGGGATCTGAACCTGTGAACCCTTGGGCCACTGGAGTGGAGCACGTGCACTTAACCACTGCACCACCAGGCTGGCCCGATAACTTGCCTTTTTAGATCCTCCTTGGAGTATTTCTTAATGAAGACACATGGGATCTTTACGATTTTTTACTGTTATAAAGAATACAATAGTGGCTGCTTCTGAGCAGGCCAGCTTCACTACAGATATCTGAGGATTTCTCCAGATTGGACAACAAATAGACAATATCATTAAAGAGAAATTATAGAAAAAGGATGAAATAGAAATTCTGGAGCTAAAATTGAAAATTCCCTAGAAGGTCTCAATAGCAGATTAACAATCAGAATAAAGAGTCAGTGAGCCTAAACATAGGTTAGTTGGAATTATACTGCCTGAGCAGAAGAAAGGGGAAAAAAGAAGAAAAATGAACAGAGAACAAGAAATCTTTTGACACTATCAAGCATACTAATATACACATAATAGGAGTCTGAGAAGGAAAGGAGAAAAAGGAAAGGGCAGAAAGAATATTTGAACAAATACGAGCTGAAAACCTCCCAAATTTATAGAAAAGAGGAATCTACATATCCAAGAAGCTCCATGAACTTCAAATATGATAAATACATAGGGATCCTTGACAACACATAATCAACCATTAAAAGACAAAAAAGAATGTGGAAAGTAGCAAGACAGAAATGACTTCTCATGTCTAGGGATCCTCAGTGAGATTCACAACCTATTTCTCATCAGAAGCTATGGAGGCCAGGAAGCAGTGAGATGACATATTTCAAGTGGGAAAGATAAAAGTCTACGGAGAATTTAACATCAGGCAAACTAATCTTCATAGCTGATCGTGAAATTAAGAAACTCCTAGTAAAATAAAAGCTGAGGGAGTTTATGCTGATAATTATCCTACATGAAATACTAAATTTAGTTCTTTAGGCTGAAATGAAAGGACACTACCAGTACCTCAAAGCTGTAGGAACAAATAAAGGACACTGGTAAAGGTAACTGCATAGGTAAATGCAAAAGCCAGTATTGTATTTTGGTTTTTAACTCATTTTCTTCAACATGACTTAAAATCTGCTGTTGAATGCAAAATCTATAAAGAAGTAATTTTTGACAATAACAATATAAAGGGAGACTCTATAGGAGCAGTTATATGCTATTAAAGCTGAGTTAGTATCATCTGAAGCTCAAATATTATTCATTTATTATGTAAACTCTAATGCCCAGGGTAACCACTAAGAAAATAAAAAATATAGAGAAAGGTAAATATGAAAGGAATCAAAATGATATGCACACCAGAGATACACACACAAAGAAGGAAGTAAGAGGAAGTATGAAACAGAGAAGATATTTGACCTACAGAAAGCACATAGCTAAAGGGCATAAGTAATGCTTCTCTTATCAGCTGTTACTTTAAATGTAAAGAAACTCTTCCTTAAAAGGCAAAGATTGGAAGAATTGTCATTAAAAAAAAATGATCTCATTATATCTGTCTACAAAAGGCTCATTTTACATACTCAAATAGATTAAAAGATGTTCCATTCAAACCTAGCTGGGTAGCTATACAACTGTAAGACTAAATATAGACTTAACTTATAAAATTGTTACCAGATATGTTGAAATACATTATATGTTGATTAAAAGGTCAGTCTATCAAGAATAGAAAACAACTGTGAACAATATGCACATAATAACTAAGTCCTGCCTTTTTTGAAGCAAAAATTGAAGAGAGAGAGGTAGTTCTACTATAATATTTGGAGACCTCAATACTCCCCTTTTAATAATGGATAGAACAACCAGACAGGAAATCAAAAAGGAAATAAAGGACTGAGCAACACTGTAAACCAACTAGACCTAAAGATATATACAGAGCACTCCATCCAACAAAAACAGAGTATACTCAACGCTAGAAATAAAATGGAACTTCCTCAATCTGAAAAAGGATATTTATTAAAATCCCACAGCTAACATCATACTCATTGGGGAAAGGCTGAAAACTTTCCCCTAATAACAAGAACAACACAAGGGTGCCCCATTTTGCCACTATACTTGAACATTGTACTGGAAGTTCTATCCAGAGAAGATAGATAAGAACAAGAAATAAAAGGTGTCAAAATTGGAAAAGAAGTCAAACTATCTCTTATTCACAGAATACGTGACACATATTTAGAAATACCTGAAGAATCCTCAAAAAAAAAAAACCTCTTAGAGATAATAAGTTCACTGAACTTGTAGAATACAATATCAACACTCAAAAATCAGTTGTATTTCTGTACACTAGCAGTCAACAAATTGAAAGAAATTAAGTAAACAGTTCCATTTATAAGAACATCAAAAAGAATAGGAATAAATTTATCCAAGGCAATGGAAGATTTATACATGGGAAACTACAAAGTATTGCTGAAGGAAATTAAAGAAAAGTTAAATAAATGTCAAGATATCTGGTGTTGCTGGATTGGAAGATTTACTGTTGTTAAGATGGCAGTACTCCCCAAAGTAATATAAAGATGCTATAAAATCCTCAGCAAAATCCCAACAGCCTTTTTTACACAAATGGGAAACCTGATCGTAAAATTCATATTGGTAAGGACCCCAAATAACCAAAATAAATGTGAAAGAAAAGAACAGTGTTGGAGGACTTAAAATTCCCAATGTCAAACCTTACCACAAACCTAGAGTAATCAAAACTGTGGTTCCAGCATGAGGATAGAAATATAATCAAAGTGATAGAACTGAGAATCCACAAGTAAATCCATACATCTATAATCAATTCCTTTTTTACGACGGTGCCAAAAACATTCAGTGGGAAAAGAATAGTCTCTTAAATGGTGCTGGGAGAATTGCATATCCACATGAAAGAGAATGAAATTGAACCTCTACCTTTCACCATATAAATAAGTCAATCAAAATTAATCAAAGACTAAATTTAAGACGTGAAGCTATAAAACTCTTAGATGAAAACATAGGGCTAAGTCTTCATGATCTTGGATTTGGTGATGCAGTTTTAGATATAACACCAGAAGCAAAAGAAAGAAAGACAAAATAGATAAATTGGTCTTGATCAAAATTAGCAGAAAGAAAGACAAAATAGATAAATTGGTCTTGATCAAAATTAGCAATGTTTGTGCATTTGACAGATATTGTGAAAATGAAAACATAAGTGAAAGTGAAAACATAATCTACCAAATGGGAGAAATTATTTGCAAATCCCATATCTGGTCAGGGTCTAGTATCCAGAATATATGAAGAACTCTCTATAACTCAGCAATTAAAATACAAAGAACCCAATTAAAAAATGTTCAAAGGATTTTAATAGACATTTCTCCATAGAAGATATACATATGGCCAACAAGCACATGAAAAGATGTTCAGTGAAGTTAGTCATTAGGAAAATGTGAAATCAAAACCACAATGAAATATCATTTCACACCGAGTAGGATGGCTGTATGAAAACAGAAAATAACAAGTGTTGGTAAAAATTTGGAGAAATTAGAATCCTGATACCTTGCTGGTAAAATAGTGTAGCTGTGGTTGAAAACAGTGTGGCAGATTCTTAAAAAAATTAAGCCATGTGACACAGCAATTCCAATCCCATTTATATACCTAGAATAATTGAAAACAGGTATTCACACACGTAGTTGTACATGAAAGTTCATAGTAGTACAAATAACATTGGCGAAAAGGTGGAAACAACCCAAATGTCCATCAATGGATGAGTGAATGACTAAAATGTGGTATAGTCATACAATGAAATTATTTAGCAGTAAAAACAGGAATGTAGTCCTGATACATAATACACCATGGATGAACCAAGAGTATTCTAAGAAGCTGGACACAAAAAGTCAGACATTTCATACTATTCCATTTATATGAAAATATCCAAAATAGGTAAATCCATAGAGATGGAAAGCATATTAGTGATTACCAGGGATGGGGGGCGGGGTAGGGGAAGAGGAATGGGATTCAATTGCTTAATGGGTAATGGATTTCCTCTGGGATGATAAAGATGTTTTTGAACTGGATAGAGCTGATGTTTGTGCAACGTTGTGAATGTAGTAAATGTTGCCGAATTGTATCTTAAAATGGCTAACTTTATGTTATGTGAATTTCACCTCAGTTATAAATAATAGAGAAATATAACTTGCTCAAAATTATCTTACATGGATCAGTGGGAACACTCACTCCAGCCAATTTGATGCTTATACATCTCTGCTTCTCCCATTTTGTGTCAAAATAAGAACCCTCTCCCTGTCCATGTGGTGAAATGTGCTTTCCTTTCAGGGACAGTTGACCTTCAGGGACGTGGCCATAGAATTCTCTCAGGAGGAGTGGGAATGCCTGGACCCTGCTCAGAGGGCTTTGTACAGGGATGTGATGTTGGAGAACTACAGGAACCTGCTCTCCCTGGGTGAGGATAACTTGCCTTCTGAAGTTGGTAACTACTTTTGTCTGTCCTTGCATTTTACCTTGAGAGTCTTTTGGGAGCCCCTGACTCACTTGTCTGAGTTCCAAATCCCTGTTCTTAAGACAGTGATTGAAGCTGTTTTGGTTCAGAGAGGAAAGGCTTCCTAGTGTGGCACATGGACTGTAACTTCCCCTTTTTTCAAAAGTTCTGCACAGATCGTGTGTGATTAGTGGTGGTTGCAGAACAGTAATAGTCAGAGAACCTTATGGCAAATTTTTAAAAATATCTACTCTTGTGCTTTTGATTCACTAGTTCTTGGGACAGAACTAGATGCCTGCATACTTCAAATAACCCTGTAGCATTTGGAATGAGGCAAGCAGTTGACTGATTTTTGAAATACTTTTCTAGGCCTGTCTATAATGTCCTCTCTTAGCTGAACAAAGAGCTGAGAATGTGTTCTGGAAAAGCATAGCATATCATGTTCCATTTTTCTTTATAAGAGGAAAACACTCTTGAGCAGAATATTATCTCCATTTTCAAGCAAGGGAAACAGCCCTGGACTGTGGAGAGTGAAGTGGAAATAGGAAAAAATGCAGACAGGTGGGAATATATGGAGGTGTGAACACAAGTAAGAGCTCAGATGGGCACAGAGTAAGCTGCTCCATTAAAGATTGTTTGGGAAACTCTACTTAAATGAGAAACATCTATGGGAAATAAAAAAATTATTTTATGATTTCTCAAAGAAAATCTGTCCCCCACATACTTATCACTTATTTAAATGTGTAAAAGTTTAAACCTGCATTCTACTGTGATGCTCCGCCTCACACAGAACCAAGGAAAAGGATTTATTATGCCCTGCAACACTCTGTTATCTGGCTTCTTTGACCATCTTTTTCCTTGTTTTGAGAAGGACTGACATGGCTGTCTCTAAGGAGTCCTCTTTCCCCTTGATCTCTCTTGGTTCTCAGTTCTTACAGATCAGAGCTGAGGCCTCTAGTCTTGACCCCAGGACCTATTCAGTTTCCATTCGCATTTTATGTCCCTGGGAGAACTTCTCAGGAGAAAGGAAAAAAATAGCTGTTCTTCCATTGTATTTGGAGTTCCATGAAACTTCCTAGGGCTGTATCAAGCCCTGTCTGCATGTTCAGGCCCCTCAGCCATCTCTTCAGTTCTCTTTTTGCCACATGTGTGTAAAGAGGAATGCAGTGGATCTTTTGAGATTATTACTGAGCAGTAATATAAAGACTAGACACTGAGATCCTCTCTTTAGTCCCCATTGCTTATGGGAGTATATCTCAGTCTTTCAGGCACTCACCTTACAGCTTGTGGGCAGAGCACAAACCTCCTTCTCAAGAACCCTCCAGAATCTGATTCTCTTATTTTACACTCATATCTTCTACTTTTCTCCGTCTTTCAGCTCTCTACCTGTCTAGGAACCTAGAAGGACCTTGGTCTTCATGATTTCTCATTCTCCTCTAAGATTTTGCCTCTGAAACTTGCTTTTGAAATATACATTCTAAGGGCTTGAAGTTTCATCCTCTTTTTCTGTTGTGATAACCCACCTTTAGGTGATAGACAACTTCTATTAGACTCTCCCATGGAGGTTGTTTACTGGGTAACAGAAAATTCTTGAAGAGGAACACCGATTAATATGTTACAGTATTATCCTGCTACATACCCCCTGGGGAGAGTGGTCAGCATGTCCCAGGATACTGACATAGAAAGTATCAGGGGAGCCTGACTTTATGATAAGTGCCTCCAGTTGTCCTTCTGGTTTTTGTGGAATTTAACGATGCCTCCCTACAGCAGTATGACAATGGTGATTAAACATAATATGATCATCTCCTTTGAGCCTGCAAGAAAAGATGTAGGAACTTAGCCTAAGGAGAACACTGTCCAAATTCACAGCCTAATATCTATGAGACTGTTGACTAAACTACTATTCATGCCACACTGTTTATGCCATGTGTGTGGTATTTACTCACTTTCAACAGATATGATTTTGACACATCTTATTGAGGGACCTTATAAAGTTGAATGATGCCAGAATCTGTAGGTCCACTGTAATTTGTTTTGTTTAAGTCACTGATACTTTCATGTTGCAAATTTCATTGTTATAAATGACCTTGTTTTTTATTTATTTAATCACCTGTTTCATATTTTTCATGATACTCTTAGTGTTCTTTGTTTTTATATCTAGAATTTGGGGCTGTTGAATCATGGAATAAAGATTATTTTTTATATTTTAAAGAATTTCCTTCTTGAGTGTTTATGACTCAACATTAGTTTCCCTAAAACCTATATAACTTCCAGAATTTTTTTAAATGATAGTCTTAGTTATTCCTTTTACTTCTGTGTCATATTAATTACTACCTATTTTTTTTTTTAATATTTATTTATTTATTTATTTTGTGAGGAAGATCAGCCCTGAGCTAACATCCATGCCAATCCTCCTCTTTTGGCTGAGGAAGACTGGCCCTGGGCTAACATCTGTGCCCATCTTCCTCTGCTTTCTGTGGGACACCGCCACAGCATGGCCTAACAAGCAGTGCATTGTTGCGTTCCCGGGATCCGAACCCCGGCCGCCAGCAGTGGAGCCTGTGCACTTAACCACTACACCACGGGGCCGGCCCTACTTAGTACCTATTAACATACACGTTTTTTGTGTCTGTGTGTGCGTGAGGAAGATTGGCCCTGAGCTAACATCTGTTACCAGTCTTCCTCTTTTGTTGTTGAGAAAGATTGGCTCTGGCCTAACATCTGTGCCCATCTTCCTCTATTTTCTTTGTGGGACGCTGCCACAGCATGGCTTGATGAGCAGTGCTTAGGTCTGTGCCCAGGATCCAAACCTGCAAACCCCATGCGCCAAAGTGAAGCACACAAATTTTACCACTACACCACCGGGCCATCCCCAACATACATTTTTTTTAATAGACTTTGTTTTTTCAAGCAGTTTTAGGTTCACAGAAAAATCGAGTGGAAGGAACAGAGATTTCTTATGTATTTCTTACCCCTACACATGCAGACCCTCCTCATTATCAACGTCTGCACCAGAGTGGTATATTTGTTACCATTAATGAACCTGTACTGGCACATCTTTATCACCCAATGTCCATATTAACCTTAGAGTTCATTCACTCTTCGTGTTCTACATTTTATGGGTTTGGACAAATATATAATGACACACATCTACCATAAAAGTATCATACACAATAATTTCATTGCCTTAAAAATTTTGTGCTCTGTCTGTTCATCTCTTCCTTCCTCCTGACCCCTGCGACCACTGATTACTGTCTCCATAGTTTTGCCTTTTCTAGAATGTCATATAGTTGCAATCTAGAATGTCATATAGCCTTTTCAGATTATCTTCTTTCACTTAGTAGTATGCATTACTCGTGTTTCCCAATTTCTTAAGTTCTTGTAATTACATCTATCAGTTAACCCATGAAGCCTGTTTTGTTCCCTGTCCTCCTTTTCTATGAATTCCAGAAAAAGTCAGCTGGTCTCTGATGACACACATCCCATTGCTGTCCTTCTTTTGGCTATTATTGGCCACTAATATTGCTGACCACATCTCTGTACATAGACCTCTGCCATGGATCACCATGGCACTGCTAAAAAATGTTTCTACACTTAAATGCTGCTACTAATACTGCCCTTCCATACCAACCATACTGTGCTCTAAGTCATTTAGTAATGTCCCTTAAGGGTATTATTTTCTGATGATGTTTGTGAAGTCAGAATTCATTACTTTTGTATAAGTATGTATTAATTTCTATTGATTCATAATGATACATACATATTTACTAATATATATAGTAAGAGCACTTCTTACCCAATGTCTCTTATGTGTCTTGATTGTAATGTGAAAAGATCCAAAGATATGATTTCAAATCATTAAGAAATAATTATAATTAAATAAATAATTTAAGAATTCCAGTAAAAGAGACTTTTATTTTTATATAACTAGCAAGGACACTTGGACTAAAAATCTTATGCCAAAATTGATAAATTTTATGTGTTTACTTGAACCTGATATTTCAAAATCCAATGATTCTCAACATATTTTTCATATTTCCTATTGTGTGCTGTTTCTGGAATATAATTCTTTTTTTTTTAGTTCTTAAAGAATAATTCTTTAGAATTCCAAAGACTATTGTTTTGTATAACTGTGGTTACTTATTAAGTTACTTGCTATATTTATCTTGGGTTACTAAAATGTTTTATTTATTATTATTGTGATATACAGACTTTTTTTAGTATGTTTTTGCTTGCATAATATCCCTATACATTATTAAACACACATTATTAGTAAACACACATTATTGTAAAGATTAAGAATTAAGGAAGACAGTCTGAAATCTCAATTATGATATCATGCATGCAGTTATATAATAGCTCATATATAGATCAACTCCTAACTATGGAATATCATTTATCTAGTTATATGACCAAAAATATCTATAGTATATAATGTATGCTTTGAAAATTTAAATTTATCTAAGGTCAGAGAAAACATTATTATGGAAAAAATGATTAAAAGTATAAAAAGAAGGGGGCTGACCCCATGGCCTGGTGGTTAAGTTCGGCATGCTCTGTTTTGGTGGCCCTGAGTTTGCGGCTTTGGATCCTGGGCGTGGAACTACACCACTTGTCAACCATGCTGTGATGGTGACCCATACATATAAAGTAAAGGAAGATTGGCACAGATGTTAGCTCAGGGCTAATCCTCCTCAAGCCAAAAAAAAAAGAGGAAGATTGGCAACGGATGTTACCTCAGGGTGAATCTTTTATCAGCAAAAAAAAAAAGAAAAAAGTATGCAAAGAAAACCAAAAAAAATCTGTATATCATAATAGTGTTTGAGGACCATTCTGGAGAAACTACATAACTATGTTCATTATAAGTATTATTTTTTGTGTAATTATGTAGTTCAATATAAAATATTTATCTTCCAACTCTATTTAATAGGAACCCTTTCTGCTGGATTTGCAATAAAAGAATTATCACCAAGAGAGGACATTGATAAAGGAGAATTATACCATCTAGTGATATTGGAAAGAAATGAAAGGCGTGGCATCAAGGATTTTGACATCAAGGAAGTCTTGGAAAATATGCATGAGCATGACAGTGAGTGGGGATATGATGCAAGAAATGACAAAGGAGTGCCTTTGACCCATAAAAAAAGTCTCCCTTACAGAAAAGATCAACAATATAATAAATCCTCAATTGATTTTCCTCAAAAGCAGAGTATTTCAGTAAGAAATAATGCATATGAATATTTCATGCTTTCTGATAAGCCATTCATAAGAAATTCCTTAAAACTGAAAAATAACTTAAGCAATGCTGGAAACAAGTATATAAAGTGTTTGGAAAATAGAACTGAATTAAGTTGGCAGGCACACCAGGCTGAACTGCAGAGATTTCAAACTGAGGAGAAAATTTATGAATGCAGTCACATTGAGAAGTCTGTCAACAATGGTTCCTCACTTTCACCACTTCAAAGAAGTATTCCTAGTGTCAAAAACATTTGTAATAGATATAGGAAGCTTTTAAAATATTCTTTGTTACATGCACAACACAGGAGAACTCAAGCCAGAGAAAAATCTTACCAATGTAATGACTATGGGAAGGCTTTTAGCAAAAGCTCAAACCTCACAGATCATGAGAGAATTCATTCTGGACAGAGACCTTACAAATGTAATGAGTGTGGCAAAGCCTTTAAGCGCATCTCACACCTTACTAGACACCGGAGAGTTCATACAGGAGAGAAACCATATAAATGTAACGTATGTGGTAAAGTCTGCAGTCAGAATTCAAACCTTGCAAGTCATCAGAGAATACATACTGGAGAGAAACCTTACAAATGCAGTGAATGTGGCAAAGCTTTTAACCAGTCTTCAAAACTTATTCAACATCAAAGAATTCATACTGGTGAGAAACCTTACAAATGTAACAAATGCAGCAAAGCTTTTGCTGAACATTCTAGCCTTATTCAGCATAAGAGAATCCATACTGGAGAGAAACCTTACATATGTTCTGTGTGTGGCAGAGCTTTTAAGCAGTGCTCACACCTCACTAGACATCAGAATAGACATCCTGGAGAGAAACCACACAAATGTAACGTCTGTGGCAAGGCTTTTACCCAACGTTCAAGCCTTATGGAACATCAGAGAATTCATATAGGAGAAAAATGTTACAAATGTAATAAATGTGATAAGGCTTTTGTCAAACGTTCGCACCTCTGGGGTCATGAGAGGATTCATACGGGAGAGAAACCCTACAAATGTAATGAATGTGGCAAAGCCTTTACAGAACGTTCAAATCTTACTCAACATAAGAAAATCCATACTGGAGAGAAACCTTACAAATGTAATGAATGTGGCAAAGCCTTTACTCAATTTGCAAACCTTACTAGGCATCAGAAACTACATACTGAAAAGAAGCATAAACCTAATATATGTGGCAATGCTTTTATTCAAAGCTCAAGTTTTGGAGATCATCAGAGAATTCATAGGAGAAAGAAACCTTACAGATGATGATTGAGACAAAACTTAACTGTTCAAGACTTACTCAACATCAGAGACTCCATTGTGGATAGAAACCATATCAAAGTACTGTATGTGGCACAACCTATAACCAGGGCTCACACCTCACTTGATGTCAGAATATACATCTTTGAGAGAAACCACACAAATGTAATATATGGCAAGGCTTATCCAAAACTTAAGATTTGTGGAACATAACCGAATTTTTACCAGAGAGAAACCTTACAAATGTAAGTTTTATCAGCTTTATCAAAGATGTACAACTCTGTGATCATGAAAGAATTCATATGAGATAGAAACCATACGACTGTGTCAAGATCTTTAAGGAATGACCTCAGGATAGAATTCTGAGGTGGTGACCACACCAAAGAATTCATACTGGACAGAAACATTACAAATGTAAGGAAGGTGATAGATTGTTTAACCAATTCTCTCAATGGACTACAAGTAAGAAAATTCATACTAGGAATTTTCCTCCATACTAGGAGGAAATAAGTCTATTACTTTTTAAAGTTAATCAACCTCAGATGTTAAATTTCACAGAGAATTAAAATTTAAAAGTATTTAAAACTCATGAAATGAAGTGTATCAGTGCAACAAGAACATCTGTTGAACGGTCCAATTATCTTCAGTTAAAAAAAGTTTTTATTCAGTAATTTGAGGTTTCTTGAAAAGGCTACAGTATTATTGATGACTTAGAACCTGAAGTTTGAAATCTGTTGATGTTATACTTTCAGTACATACTTACCATTTCTCACCATGATGGTCTCAGGGAAGGGATCGGTAAGATGAAAGGACCTCCTTCATTAGGTGGGGTTTATTCATATCTATGGAACCTGCAAAAACTAGGATACTAATTTTAAGATAAATTATGGTATAAATTTAAGAGCATGGGGAGTGGCAAAGAATAGATGTAAAACTGTTATCTAAATTATCATGTTTTCTGTGGTCATGGCTCCTTCCCTAGGTTTGTTGGTATGACTGTGGACTTCTGTTGATGGTTATAGCAAAGGATTGCTCTACCAGATGATCATGAAACAGCAAGAGTAGGCCAGAACATTAAGAGAATGAGATATTCATGTGAGTAGAATGATGGGTTACTAGAGATGACAAATGTGGTAGAAAAAAATGGAGAGTGAATGATTGCCACCTTTATAGCCAATAGCTATTATGTATCATAGATTAATGAAAACTGGTTTTATTTTTGGAAACTGAAGAGAGAACAGTTATAGAGGACAGTTTAATCAAAAGAACTGGGGTACAGTGTGCTTGTGAAGGATTCAAATTTGGCCACTGAAACTGCATTTTGATACCATTTTATTTAGAATATATCATATGTTTCATGTCTTAGTGAGTAAAATATAATCGTTTTTTTTGTAATCCTGAATGAATCACGTGCCTTCTGTCAACCCGAGCATATCCCACCTCATTGGGGCACTTTATAATGTCACTGATAATACAGCATTAGGTTCTCAAAGTTACATGACATCAATTTCTTTTCATGATAGATTCAAAGTACATACAATTTTGGAAATATATATTCATAACTCTCACTTGAGTTATTCTATCCATAGTGTACTCCAGATTATTTTTGTAGTTATAATGAAAATACCATATCAGTGCAATTTCAGACTCTGACCCCCTACAACTTGCGTCTCCATTCACGAATATGCTCCATGTGATTTTATTTCTACATGTCTTTTTTTGTGCAGACATGAGACCCCTGGGTTGCACCTTCACATGTAGTGAAAATGGAACTATATAGTAAGCATATGACAAATACTAAGAAATAAAAGAAAATTTCAGAAATAAGGATAAAAATAGGGCCGGCCCCGTGGCTTAGCGGTTAAGTGCGCGCGCTCCGCTGCTGGCGGCCCAGGTTCGGATCCCGGGCAAACACTGATGCACCGCTTCTCCGGCCATGCTGAGGCTGCGTCCCACATAGAGCAACTAGAAGGATGTGCAACTATGACATACAACTATCTACTGGGGCTTTGCGGGGGAAAAAAAAAAAGATGTCAAAGATGATAATATGTATTTGAAAAAAAAGGATAAAAATAATGCAGTCTATTTTTTTTTGCTGAGAGCACTCAGTGAAATAATTTCAAAAGATCAATATTTATGAATTTCCTGTAAAGAATGGACAAACACAGTGGGATGTCTTTTTGATAGATAAACTAGAAACTTCATATATTCACCCTGAAAACATTTCTTGTTAATTTGCACTTGTGTCTTCTCCACTAGAACAGGATGGCACCCACTCAAACTTAGTACGGACCGATCATTCTGTACACTAAAGTGTTAGAAGAATCTTTATTACGTAGTGAGGCTTTCTGGGGAGAGTGGGGTAGACTTTCCATGTTGTTACAAAAATGGAAAGAGAGCAGGGAATGGTGACTGGCTTGTGTTATGGTGGATACTAGGTGGAACTGGGGTGATCATACTCATTTGTGCTGTGAACTTACAACTAGTGCTAAGGGAAGGAGCACGCAAGTTTTGTCATCAGCCTCCCCTGCCCAGATGCACAGAATAGGAAATGGGTGTAGTTGAGGCTTAAAGGGTGTCAATAGTCAGACATCAAAAATGGAGTCAGACTCCTTAATATAAAACTGAATGTTTATTCTTCAAACTCTTGACTTCTTGTTTGGGAAAGACCACAATTTTCCTCATGCTAATGACATACTACATTCCTTTTCCTGATGCACACATTGATTCCATTTCACAATATGATTGTTGAAAATGGTTGTGAAATACTGTTTAGATAAATTGCCTAAGATGTTTTTTACACTTGCTTCTTGAAAATTAATGTGTGGAGATGTTTATCAGACAAATACAATTCAGTAATTTTTCAGAAGATCCGCTTTTGAAAGGCTAGAAAAATTGCTATTTAAGGGGCTGGCCCCGTGGCTTAGTGGTTAAGTGCTCGCGCTCCGCTACTAGCGGCCCGGGGTTTGGATCCCGGGCGCACACCAACGCACCACTTCTCCAGCCATGCTGAGGCCGTGTCCCACATACAGCAACCAGAAGGATGTGCAACTATGACGTACAACTATCTACTGGGGGGCTTTGGGAGAAAAAAAAAAAAGGAGGAGGATTGGCAATGGATGTTAGCTCAGAGCCGGTCTTCCTCAGCAAAATGAGGACGATTAGCATGGATGTTAGCTCAGGGCTAATCTTCTTCACAAAAAAGAAAAAAAAAATTGCTATTTGAAATTAATGTAGAAAGCAGTATATTCCATGATTTCTCAACTGTAGTAAAATTCCATTTAGTTCATCATATTTTTTATTATTTTTTTAAATACCATTTAGCCCAATTCATACATTTAATTTGCATTTCTTCCTTTTTACTTCAGTGAAATAACTGGAGGATACATAAATCAAGGGGTTGTTTTCAGATTTGTGTGGCATGAAAATGTACATAGAGGAATGACAGATGCAAAGTATGTGTTCTATAAAGATGAAGATAGAGGTTCTCACGTTTTGAGTTCTGTGAGAGAACTGGAATGATAGAAGATAATGAACTGAAGTCTCATAATGTAGAAACGAGACCTGTCGCTAATGTGCGAGTGTACCACTGGGATTTTGGAAACAAAATTATGTTAATTTTACCTAAAAATATATCTCTCCAAATCCCCCCCTTCTTGCCATTACTGCCATCATCATTATCTCTTCCTTCCATTACTACAATGGAACTGGAACTCATATCTCCAATGCCTTGTAAACCATGGTTAGCAGATCAGAACTATTTTCTGAATTCTATTTGGAGATATTAGATTATATTTATCTGTTTTTTTGAGATATAATTTACAAACAACAAAATTCACACTTTTTAAGTGTACCATACAGTGGGATTTAGTATATATACAATGTTTTCCAACTACAGTATTTTCATCTTTCATCTCCCCTCTAAAAAAAAAAAAACCCTACCCTTTAGCAATTATTCCCTACTCCACCCCCCAGCTACAAGCTAACATTAAGCTACTTTTGTTCTGTATGGATGTAGCTATTCTGGGCATTTCATATAAATTAAGTCATAAAATATGTGGCCGTATTTCTCCCTTCTTTCAGTTAGCATAATGTTTTCAAGGGTCATCCATGTTGTAATATCAGTATTTCATAACTTTTTATTGGTGAGCTGTATTCCAGTTTGTTTATCAATTCCTTTGATGGACCTTTAGGTTCTTCGCACTATTTGCCTATTAGAAATTCTTCTATGGACAGTCTTTTACAAGATGTTTTTGTGGATATGTTTTCACTTCTCAGGTATATTTGTAAAAGTGGAATTGCTGGGTGTGATATTGTGATTTAGGAAAAATATACAGTCTTCGTCCACAATTCCTGACTCACAGCTCCCCCAAACCTTGGAGTTTCATGAATAATAAGAGCAATGGGAACTTCTTTTGTTATATTTAGTCTATTTCCTCAGTTTGTGAAATTGCTTCAAAGCCATAAAGCAGAAATTGGTGTCTTGTTATTCATAGCAAGCCCCTTTCCCTCACAACTGGGTTTATGTTAATGAAGTGACTTTTGGAAAGCACCTAAAGATGGGGACTGGTTGCCAGGGGAACCAACCATTAATAGAATGTTGGAACTTTAAGTCTCATCTCCTGATTTCCTGGGATGGGAAAGGGGCTGGTGGTTGAATCAGTCACCACTGGCCAATGATTAACTCAATCATGGCTATGTAATGAGGCCTCCATAAAAACCCATGGGAGGGGGTTCAGAGAGCTTCCATGTCGGGGAACTGGAATGCTTCCATGTGTCAGCTTCCATGTGTCAGCATTCTGGGCCCCAAACTCCATGAGGACAGAAGCTCCTGTGTTCAGGACTTTGCCCTGTGTGTCTCTTTATCTGGCTGTTGATTTGTATCCTTTAATAGCCTTTGTAATACACCAGTAATCTAGTGAGTAAACTGGTTTCCTGAGTTCTCTGAGCCACTCTAGCAAATTAATCAAACCCAAGGAGGGAGTTGTGAGAACCTCTGATTTATT